TTCATCCATATGATATATTTTATACTAATTCTTAATCATTTGAAATATTAATTTATCTTTCATTATAAAGAAATCAAAATCATGTTATTAACTCAACTATTTTATGATAGTTTTCATCATGTCGAATTTATCAAAGCTTGAATTTGTGGCACTTGACATTTCTGGAAAGAACTATTTGTCATGGGTACTTGATGCTGAAATTCACCTTACCGCTAAGGGTCTTGGTGATTGTATAATCGAAGGAAATAAGGCATCAAGTCAGGATAAAGCGAAAGCTATGATTTTCCTTCGTCATCATCTTGATGAAAGCCTGAAGGTTGAATACTTAACAGCGAAAGATCCACTTGAATTGTGGATAGGTTTGAAAGGGAGGTATGCCCACCTCAAGGCAACGGTATTGCCAAGGGCTCGTTATGAGTGGATGCACTTACGATTTCAAGATCATAAAACCGTAATTGAGTATAACTCTGATGTATTTAGAATCATTTCCAAATTAAAATTATGTGGGGAAGTTATAAAAGATGAGGACATGTTGGAAAAGACACTAACTACTTTCCATGCCTCCAATATGATATTACAGCAGCAATACCGTGAAAAGGGTTTTAAAAAATACTCTGAATTAATATCATGCCTTCTGGTGGTTGAGCAGCATAATGACCTTTTAATGAAAAATCATGAAGCCCGTCCGTCCCACTAGAAGTACTCCATTACCGGAAGCACACGGCCAGTCTGAAATAAGACAAAATAATCGAGGCCATGATAATGTGCGTGGACATGGCAAAGGCAAAAGACGATATAATAATCGTTGAGGTGGTGGTCATAACAAAAGGGAGAACAATATGGGTTCTCAAAATAATCCTTCAAAAGGCAAGGGCGATCACTGTCATTGTTGTGGCCTTAAAGGTCACTGAAAAAATGAATGTCGGGCACCTGAGCATTTTGTCAGGCTGTATCAAAATTCCTTTAAAAGGAAAGGGAATAGAGGTGGTGCCTCCTCTTATAATACCCGAGTTGAGTCATATTTGACTCTCAAAGATGATGCTCAGGCAGGGTCTTCTCAAAAATATGATGAGAATGTTGAGGCGAATTTAGCATTGAAAGATGATGCTTTTGATGGGCTCGATGATATTACTCATCTAGAAGCTGAGGACTTCTTTGGGGATCGCAACTGAAGATTGATAATTGAACTGGGAAATGAATAATTTTTTTTTTATGTATATTTAATGTCTTCATTAAAGTTTATGTAAAGATTTTTTTGTTAAATTTCGTACTTTTTATTATGTATTTTTATTTTTATGAAGATAAATAAATTTTTCCAGTCTTCAGTTGGATCCAATATGAGTAATGGAGATATGTGCCTTCTGGACAATGCCACAACTCATACGATACTAAGAGAAAATAAATATTTCTCTCATTTGGTAATGAAAAAGGCATATGTTAATACAATATCCGGTAGTACAAAATTGATTGAGGGTTCTGGAAGAGCGGCCTTATTACTACCTGGAGGAACATTATTGGTAATTGATAATGCATTGTATTGTAGTAAGTCTCAAAGAAACTTGTTAGGTTTCAAGGTTATTCGCCAAAATGGCTATCATGTTGAGACTGCGAATAAAGGAAAGGTTGAATACTTTTATATTACTACAATAAATGCAGAGAAGAAAACTGTGCATGAAAAATAGTCTGCACTTTCTTCTGGGTTGTACCATACAAATATTGGTACAGTTGAATCACATGTTGTGGTAAACAAAAGGTTTACTGGTTCAAATGATTTTATCATTTGGCATGACCGGTTAGGCCATCCCGGTTATAATATGATGCGCAGAATAATTGAAAATTCACATGGGCATACTTTGAAGAACCAAAATGTTCTTCAATCAAAGGAATTCTCTTGTGCTGCTTGTTCACAAGGAAAGTTGGTTATCAAACCATTAGTGGTTAAGGTTGGGATGGAATCCCCTGCATTTCTGGAACGGATACAAGGTGATATATGTGGACCTATTCACCCTGCATGTGGACCATTTAAATATTATATGGTCTTGATAGATGCATCTACAAGATGGTCTCATGTGTGCTTATTATCAACTCGTAATATGGCTTTTGCGAGGTTGTTGGCTCAGGTTTTGTCCCATTGGGTTTTCCTGGTAAGGTTTTTAATGAGGCAACACTCAAGGCGTATTACAAGATGTGTGTACTCTTTTTCCTTCACTAGGCTTTTTCCTACTGGATTTTTTCTAGTAAGGTTTTAACGAGGCACATTATCTATAAGCATCCAAGGGGGAGTGTTACAAATCCACTTAATTGTGTGGATGTTTCTCTTAATTTATCCTAACGTAATGTATCCATTTATTATATTAATTAAATATTATAGTTACGTATTGTCAAATGTTGTAAAAGGATGGTTTAAACATCCTATAAAAGGTAGTCTCCACCCTTAGGAAATACACAATTGAAGAGATTAAAATAAGGCTCTCAACTTTATACTTTCCATCGCACTTTGCCTTACTTTCTTGTTCAAGTATTCTTGCATTTTCCTCTTGTTTTACTACATAAGGATTGATTTTAACATTTATATCTTTTTGTAAAGATTTTTAATTAGTAAAAACGTTTGGACAATTGTCTACAATAATGTTCTTTTATTATTTAGTCTTTATTGATGAATTAAGAGAGGTCATAAATCATTCTTGATTACTACATGACTTGATTATGTATTTATTGGATGAGGTCTTTTATTAGTTTATTTTATTAATAAATTGGGTATACAAATGAATTAAAAAATGTTTTAAAAAAATAAATAGAAATGATGGCCATTGAGGCATGCCACATAAGCGGGCTAAAGATCCTCCTTTATATATATATATATATATATATATTGATTGATTGTAAACGTTTTTATAATAGACTCATTAGAAAGAGTACGAAATTCACTAGAAAAATGTATTAAAATTTAAGGAAATAATTCAATTTTAATTGAAAAAAAAAATAGTTAATGGAGGTAAGATTCGATCATGACACTGCGGGGAATTGAAGAGGGTAGGTTTGCGACGGCTATTGCCAACTCCACTACGCATTACTTTGTTATTTCAGGGTATCCAAATTCTATATATATCAATATAAAGTCAAAACTTTAAGTGTATATATAGTAAATTTTTTGGCGAAGGATGTCCAATTGAACACCCTAGAGCCTACGTAGCTCCACCCATGGTCATGTGGTGTTCATCTCATGAAAATGTCAGTGGTATATTGGATTGAGTGTCCACCTTAAACAGTCCAAACGAAAGAAGGGTAATTTGAACTATTTAAGTAACAACAAGAGAAATTTTAAATTAAAAAAAATCATCTTTAATTATTGATTCATGAAAAGATAGTGATTTTCTGTATTTAAATAAAAGTTTCTTTAGACACACCGATAAACGATTCTTTATTCCTCCCTTTGTTTGATATAAAAATAGATGTTCATTTTTATTTTCAAACTGGAAAATCCAGATCAAATTTATCACTTAGGACATTATATTGTACATGTACATAAAGATATTTTGTTCCAAAGACCCTGGCCTAACCAAGTCCAGTAGGAGTTGCACATTCGTGCAAATGCCACTATGTAAAATATTTTGTAACTCCTCTGCAGACATGTGTGTGTTGACTGTTGAACATCTTCTCATCTTTCTTTGAGTACACTCCTTGATCTGATGAATGCCATGTGTAAACATAAAACCAATTGTTTAAGTAAATTTATCTTCCAATCCTACTTCATAAGTAGTCTTCATCAATTCATGACTCTTCATTCCAAAACCAACAACACAATTCCAGGATAACTTAGTCCACGAATTAAATAACCTCATAAAGTTTAAATCACGGGATAACATAGTCCGCATTCCAAAGGACCTCATAAAGTTTAAATCTTGATATTTGGGTTAACTTAGTTAGCGAACCAAACAACCCCATAAAGTTCAAATCTTGGTATCTGGGATAACTTAGTCCACAAACCAAACAACACCATAAAGTTCACATCTTGGTTCTCCTTCTGCCTTCCACCAACACAAGTATCAAATAACTCTGTCCATGGGAAAACATAGAAATAAATTACCAAGAATAAGTACTTGATTTGAAGTACTTATAGCCCATTGTAACATACCATCAAAGGAAGAGAAACCACCATTAATATACTCCTCTTCTTGTACCATGGCTGAGTCCACGTGGTTGTTATTCGTATTGTTTATCTTTAATTAACGTCCCTAACCAAATTGACTGGAATTTTAGCCAACTAAGAATAAAATTTAGACCTATATGAGATTAAAAGTTTGACAAATTCAAATATTTTTCGAATTTTGAAATTCAAATTGAATGAAGTTCAACTTTAGATATTCACATTTGAAGATATATATTTTGCAAAACATAACCTCATATACGAAACTGTTTTATCGTTGACAAGCTGTAATCACCAATATAAAATATAATCATCGTTATTTTTATGTGAAATAGATACATAAGTAATTTCGTCGAAAATTGAATATTCTCTTACATTTTTCTATTTTCAAAACCTCCATGACTAAAGGTTGGTACAAATTCTGTAGAACCAGAAACAATTGGTCTTGCCACAAAATTGATTTGTCTCATCACATACATTACATTGCTATCAAATTTGCAAGATTGATTAAAAGTTAAATACTTGAGAAAAATTGGCTATGACTTAAATAGTAGCACTTATAAAATCAGCCCAAGTCGTCGTCAGCTCATAATGTTATCCCTCTCATATTAGTGTTGTCCTAAACAGATGATGTACCCATTTTGAGTCCATGTCCAGATGAACAAATGGCGTGGGATGATGAAGATATCGATCCACTTGGCTACTTCCGCGCCTTTCCCACAGAGAAGAATGCAAGCAGTGTAAAGTTCAAAAACCGGATCAAGCCAGAAACTGTCATCATAATGCAGCTTGTGTAACCTGTCATTTCGAGTTTTAGCAGAGGATCCAAGTTCAACTTCAAATGAAAAGAAATCTATATTAATGTTTCCGTCACCTTATTCAGCTTTTGAAGGAAGGTCAGGTTAACTTCTTTACGAAGACTCTCCACATCCATTGCATATTCTTCTCTAAGATCATTTAACTGTTGCCTCGTCCTCTCAAGTACCTCGTTCAATTTACAGAAGTCTCTGAAGAGTTGAACTTCAGTCGTCGATCTAAGTAGTAGTATGTTTTTAATTGCGTAAAGAGCCTGCAGTTAAAGCAATATCACATGTCAATCCCATAACAGACTTTTTAAAAGATGTCACCAACACGCATGGCAATATTTTGTATTACAGAGGCGGCCTTGTTCAATGTATTGAGGATGGAAATGACATGAAAGATACGCGGGATAGTTCAAATTAAACAAGTCAAAATTTATGTCTGTTCCATTCTGGACCCTACACCAAAAGCGAGTATAATTTCCATCATTAAAGATGAAAAATGAGCCCCGGATATCCTTCTCACACAGCTAACAGGTTTCTTCAAAAGTTAACATCTGATAAGTTTCTGCATAAACCACAAAAAGTTTTCCTATGAAAAAAATCACAGTTGAATTTCTTGTTCTGAAGTGACCCAGCTATCATCCCAACAGACTTTGACCCATACTCAAACCCAAACAGATCTAAAGAAGAATTCAATCCAAAAGACTTAGTCCCAATGAAAACAACTGTGGAAACAGACATCGCTCTACTGATTACTTCTTTCATCTAACCAATACTCCACCATCAAACCACAGTAAAACAGACTGATATAGCCACTTGCAAAAAATGAAAGTAGGTGTTTGGTTAAGAACTTAAGATAAAGGATGAGATCCTACAGAGCGACATTTTAACTTTGGAGGTATATGGATGTACTGATGATGGATGCAAGTGTGGATTTTACGTAAAAAGACCATCAACACTTGCTCTTCACAAAGGTCAGGCCAAAATTGCTGAGGATGAGGATCATCTCTAATAATTGATAACCTAAGGGGTGCATATGAAGTTTAGACAAATAAGGTACTTTTGAGATTAATGCCCATTCACATCACAAACCTTTTCCTTTAGATCAAGATCACTTGATGCCATTGAATCAACAATGGCCTTCAGTAACAATCGATTACTAAAAAAGGAAACCTCAGCTGTGTTCTCATTTTCCAGCTGACTCTCAGCTAAATCAGCAATAAGAAACAGTGACTTTTTATGTAACCTGATATCCAGATTTGAATTGCTAAGAACCTCCTGCATACAAAGACAGAGAAGGAAGTCATACACTGCAGCAGTAAACTAGCTCTAACTTGACTCAATCTTCAGATGGATCACCTGAAGCATCGTATCTCCAGCTTCCTGATAAAACAAATTTTGGCCATTCACGTTATTTCTTATTAGTGCTGAAATAGCAAATAAAGCTTTTACACCTTCTTCAGTTGTGTCAGATTTCATCATCTTCATTAGCAATTTCAATGCCCCAAGTTCCAGGACCTGAATGCATGTCATTGCACAGCGTCAATACAATAGCCAGTAAATTTAGAATATAAACACAGAAATTGCACAGATGAAAGCTACAAAGAAACTAAATCATTAAAGATCAAACTTGTATAAAAACATAGCTCCAATACCTGCTTCTGAACAAGGGGGTTATTTTGATTGGCTTTGCCAAGAACCCATGCCGCAGCAGTCCTTATTTCTGGTTCAGAATGATTAAGTATTCTTATAAGTACACTGATGCCTCCAAGTTTCTGCAGATCTGGAAATAAAACCATGCAAGTATTTAGAAAAGTATACATGTGCATTCAATGCTTTCTTTAAATGAAGGAATGGTGATAAATCGGTTGATGCCTGTATAAAGGAAAACTATTGATGAATCCTCAAAACATTAACAAGTACTCACATTACACATAAGCATCATTGAGAAGCTTCATAAAACCAAGATTAAGAAAGGGTGCTATAGTTCCTAAGAGGTCAGCTGTATGCTCTTTTAGTTCGAGCCTCCTAAAGACTTGATTATAGTCTTATTAGGTCTCAGAAGCGTGTCTATTTGGATTATAGATGCTAATGAATTACTACAGTTGATATTAAGTGAGACGTCATGTCTCTCTGCCTCACAAAGGTAGGGGTAAAGTCTGCGTACACCTCACCATCCCCAGACCCCACTTGTGGGGCTATACCAGGTGTGTTCTTGATGTTGATATTAAGTCAGAAGTCATAAAACCAAAACCAAAAGAGGCAAAAACAAACATCTGTAAGACTGTAACAAAAGAAGTCCTGAGAACTATACATACCAATTGCATTATCAATATGCTCAACAAGTACCAACAGCTCCTCCAAGGCACGAAGATGATGCTCCAGAGGTAGGGATGAATTATCTAAATCATTAACCGCAATCAGCATCAACTGCGCATCTGAGGGCATTTTTAGCTTCTCCAACAGTTCCTGGAGATAAACAATATATAAATGTATGAAAACCCAACTGAAGAAAAAAATCACATTAAAAAAAGGACCCTTTGGCGTTCAATACAATTGCAAGAGGTGGCAAAATAATTCCTCATTTTTTTTATTTTTTTGTTTTTGTTTTTTGGGGATAAGTAAATCAAATTAAAAGATGAAGCAAAAAGGATACACAGGTACAGACGAGATGTCCTCACCTATGTCCTATCAGTGCCCACTCCAAAAACTACCACGAAGCTACAAAGAAGTAAGGGCCAAGGAAGATAGACAGAAATATCGGTCTGAAAAAGAATTCTTGGATTCTTACTCAACTATATTAACCATAGTAGAATTTAGAGCCAAACAAATAGTATGAAAGTACATTTTACTTTAGTTTCTATTCGAAGACCAAAAGCTGGTTGTAATTAGATGAACTGATGGAATCAGGGAAGAAACAAGATAATTTTCCATACCACTTAATAAAATTTCTCCTCCTTTATCCCAAAGCAAAATGGCAATGCAAGAAGAAATGCTAATTCAAGTAAATGGTAGGAGAAACCGTGCTTAAATTAGATGCTAGAGTCCCTTAAATATAACACTATGAGCTCGGATTTTCCCTATATGTATAAGCATTTTCTTACATCGGAATGGATTTGTTTCAACATTTAAACAAATGGTGGTCAGCATTGGGTGGCTTCTTATGTGATGTATCAGTGACAAATAAAATTGAGTGATCACAGGCTGACATGGATCATGAACAGTACAATGGACATTTTACTTAGAATAAGCAAATCAAACAGCTTAAACAAAATAACTGTATGCACACTTCACTAGCATCTATAATTTTGAATGTATCTTACATTAATTCTTTACAATTTAGCTAGAGCCAAAAGCATAATCCGAAGCCCTCCCTATTTCCTACTTTAGAACCACATGTTCATAAGCAAGCATTTCATGCGAAGACTATTGAAGGGGAGCCTTCGAGTAACTGGTAAAGTTGTTGCCATGTGACCAGGAGGTCACGGGTTCAAGCCTTGGAAACACCCTGTGGCAGAAATGCAAAGTAAGGCTGCGTACAATAGGCCCTTGTCGTCGGGCCCTTCCCCGGACCTGTGCATAGCGGGAGCTTTAGTGCACCGGGCTGCCCTTTACTATTGAGTTCAGTCTAGTCAAAGGCCAAGTTTTAAGATATGTATTCTTGATAAAATTTCTATTTTATTTTCCAAGAACTATTATACATTTCCGTCTTACACTAGGAGAAGGCTAACAGTGATCTCGTGAATCTAATAGGAGCTGGACATGCAACCTTTCTAGAGTTGCATATTCGTGCTATGTTCAACAGAGTGAAGTTGAATATTAAAATATTTGCCTTTTTTCGACCATTATGGCATAACTTAGCTCAAAAATTGAGTCATACTGATAAGTTGAGGCATATTCTGCTTCTGAAGCTCCAACCAACTTTACTTGAAATCTTCATTTATTCATTTTCCTATCAAGTTACATCGTCATGTTGCCAAATCCTACACTTCAGCTGTTTGCAGTAATACATTCTACCTTCAATACTTCATTTCTCAAGTTTCCCTATTATTTTTCAATACTTTATACATGTAGATGTTAGGGAAGAGAGGGTATTGGTTCTTTTCATCTGTGCCTTGGGAGATAGAGTTACATGTACCTATGTTAGTGCAAGTTGGGGGTGTTATCAAAAACATTAAGGCACAAAGGAAGAATCACAAGCTCATTAACCGCACCTTCAGTTCAGTCTGGCGTTTGTTTAGCTCCTCCGGAGACATGCGTTGAGCAACTTCTGATCTTTCTTTTAGTACTCCAGGATCCGAATGCCCTGTGTATGTCAATTTAGCACACGAAACCAAATCATTACACATGGGAAACATAAAACCAATTGTGTAAGTAAACTTATCATTCAATCCTACTTAATCAGTGGTTCATCAATAGACTCTTTAATCCTAAACTAACAACGGCACATCCAGTCCAGTTAATTCCACAGGTACCTATTGCCTCCCACTGGGGGCGGAGCCAAAAGGTACCATACAGGTTCATCCGAACCCAGTAGTTTTAGTCCAAATCTTATATTTGTATTAAGAAATGCAAGAAATATGTTCAAAAGTTAGATTCAGAACCCAGTTACTAACACCTAATATTCCAAAACACAACAAATCAACAACACATCCAGGTCAGCTAATTCCACAGGTATGTGCTGCCACCTATCAGGGGCAGAGCCAAAAGGTACCATATGGGTTCATCCAAACCCTGTAGTTTAGTCCAGATCCTATATTTGTATTAAGAAATGCAAGAAATATGTACAAAACTTAGATTCAGAACCTAGTTACTAACACCTAATTTCACTATTCTAGAATTTAGTTCATGGACTAAGGTGGATATTCCAGGATAAAGTCTGATTACAACAACAACATAATACCCAGTATAGTCCCACAGAGTGGGGGTCTGGGGATTAAATTTATACTTTGTTAGGTTGAAAGTATAAAATTAAATTTATACCTTCAACAAACGAAATATAAATTTCATTTCAAACTTAAATCTTGGATATCAGACCTTATCCCATCCAACTTGGAATCGCGGGATAACTTAGTCCACGAATCAAAAAACCCATTTCAAATCTTGGTATCCTAGGATAACTTAGGCAGTGAACCGAACAACCCCATAAAGTTCAAATCTTGGTATCCTAGGATAACTTAGTCCGCAAACCAAACAACCCCATAAAGTTCAAATCTTGGTATCCTAGGATAACTTTTAGTCAGCAAACCCAACAACCCCTAAAGTTCAAATCTTGGTATCCTAGGATAACTTAGTCAGCAAACCAAATAACCCCTAAAGTTCAAATCTTGGTATCCTAGGATAACTTAGTACACAAACCAAACAACCCCATTAAGTTCAAATCTTGGCTCCCCTTCTACCTTCCACCAACATAAGTACCGGATATCACACCTTATACCATCCAACTTGGTATCGCGAGATAACCTACTCCATGAATTAAACAACCCCATAAAGTTCAAATCATGGTATCCTAAGATAACTTAGTCTATGAACCAATCAAGGTCATAAAGTTCAAATCTTGGTATCCTAAGATAACTATCCGCAAACCAAACAACCCCCGTGGTATCATGCAATAATTTAATCCGCAAACCAAACAATCCCATAAAGTTCAAATCTTGGCTTGCTTCTACCTTCCACGAACAAAAGTACCTGATAACTCTATCCACCATAGACACAACAGCAACAACAACAACATACCCAATGTCATAATGGAAGTACAAGAGACAATAAAAAAACAACAAAAACAACATATAATAGCATAACAATACTATAACAATAATCCTATTATCCTAATTCGTGTCCTCCACAACTTCCTATCCACCAAGGGCATATAGGAACAAATATTTGATTTAACCTTTCACAATTACAACTTAAAATGAAAAGTTAAAAAAGGAGAATTGGGGAGAAGTAAAGTACCTATAGCCCATTGTAACATTCCATCTAAGGACGAGAAACCACCATCCATATCCTCCTCTTCTTGAACCATAGCTAATTTATCTCCTTCCTTAGGGTTACTAGACCCAACAACAACAGCACCATCTACAGCTACTTCACTAGTTGCAAAATTTGCAATTAACACCACCATGAGAACTGCTATGAAAATCAGTCTCCCCATTGCTGCTGATTACTGAGCCCTCTAAACTATTTGTTTTAATACTATATAGTACTCCGATTATTATTGTATACTATAGAGAAAAAAATGTATACATGTATGTCACGTGAACCCAACAAGTTTGACCAATTGGAAGCGTCCACGTGGTCATTTTTTGGTAACTCTTAGTTTGCATTGATAGTAGTAGTACTATTAGATAATTTCGAATAAAAGTGCATGCTTCAAAATTAAAAAAATTAGACCCATATAACTAAAATTTTAGTCATTTTTTTACATGAATTTCAATCATTGTTGACATATACTCCTTCCCGTTCAATTTTGTTTGTCACACTTTGATTTGGCACATCCAAACTTGGCACACCCATTAAGAAAATAATTATTGATATTATTATTTTACCAAACTATCCTAATGATATCTTGAAAAATGATTTGAAAAATAAGTATTTAATGTTGAGGGTAAACATGGAAAAAATTATTATCTTTTCTTGATATGTCAAAAGTGACAAGTAAAATGAGAATTTATTTTAGGAATAAGTGTCCGTTTGGATTGACTTAAAAAAAGTAGTTTTTAAGTCAAAAATAAAAAATTAAACTGAAATGACTTTTAAGTCAAAAAATAAAAAGTAGGGGGAGACCTACTTTTGGTTTCTAACTTATTTTAAGTCACTTTTGACTTATTTTAAGTCATTCTTTACCTTGCCAAACACTTCGTAACTTATTTTAAGTCATTTTTGACTTATTTCAATTTATTTTTTATATTTGCCAAACACTTTTAGAAGTAAAAAACTGACTTAAAAGTAGGTTTGACCAACTTTTAAGCCAATCCAAAATGAGGGATTTCTTCTCATTTTTTAACCACAAAAATTTTCTAATCTTCTACTCTTCTTCTTCTTACACTTAGATATTTTTTGTGTGATTTATTGTTGTTGAGTGAGTTTGAAGATCAGTGGAATCTCAGGTACCACTATTCTGATGAAGTAAATCATTCTTTCCTAAGAGGATATATTCTAGAACCTCGGCTACTTGAGAAAAATAATTTTTGGTGATATAATAATTATTTTTTTTGCTTAATATATATAGTAGTATGTAATGTTCCAATAGATGAAGTTAACATGAAGTAGTCTATATTCATTTGTTTTTTCTTAACGATTTCTTTAGTGATGCAGATATATGTTTCTGAATATCTTTTTAAAAAATTATTGAACTTCTCATGAGTCAGAGAATTGTCACGAGTTGTTTTGTTGATGCTCAAGACATAAGAATGACTTTATTTACAATGATATTTATGTGATTGAGATTGCTAGTAAGTTTGCTTCAAAATAGTTATTGCTATATAAACATTTTCCTTTCGTTTTACTTATTTACTTATTTTTAAAAATATTTATATATTTTAGTCGAAGGAAAATTCATATGATTTATAATGACGTTGGGTTGAAGGATGTATTAGTTTAATTTTTATTTTTTATTTAGTTGCTAATTTTTTGAGACAAATATTTTTACTATATGCAAATCTTTATATATAGATATATATTTGGGTAGATATTTATATTTCAATTAAAGTATTATATATGTCAAGAAAGTATCATCAAGTTAACAAAATCTTCTAACTTCAAAATATATTATTTTTAAATGCTCTGATTTCTTTTTTTCTTTTTTTAAAATAAAATAAAATGCATAGCAAATAGGAAAATATGTGAATCATTTAAAATTATCATTTTATATTATATAATATGAAATAAACGTGCAACACATGAGAAGCTTTAAAGTACAACATTGGATTACCATTTTGCCCCTACACTAAATTAGAATCTAATTAGAAAAGGGTCATATTTGCCCCTATACTCTTAGAAAAGGGTTATTTTTCCCTTCGTCATGTTTTTTTGATATATTTGTCCATGTCATCCTACTTTAGGCACATATTTGCCATTGAACCATTAAATCCATATCCTCATTTTTAGTATCCTATGTGGTTCCCATGTGGCACGCCTATGTGGTTATATATATATATTTTTTTTTTTTTATTTTTTTTTTCTTCTAATTTAATATTATATCCAACCAAATATTATATCCACTCATCTAACCTATCAAACCAAACTCCTATACATCTTTCATCATCACTTTTGCAGAAGAAAACCACGAGACTTTGATAGAGGGAGAGAGTAGAGCTATATTCATATTGATTTTTTTAGTTGTATCTATGCAGATTTAAAGCACAACTCCAGAATTTTTTTTTGATGACATTTTTACACAAAATGTAGCAGCAAGTTGGCGGCCACGTTAGTATCAATTACAAATTAGATCATTTTCAGCATTATTTGACCATTTTCTGCACACTTTTAGTACATATAAGTAAGCACACAAAATGCAACAAAAAAATAAGCATTGTTTTAAGTACCCTATAGCATACTTTCAACATATTTTAATACTATTTCAATACACACAAATACAGTAGCAAAGTAAGCACAATTTCTCTTGGATGAGAAGCCATAGCTCTCTTTGTCAAAGTCTCGTGATTTTCTCTTAGGAAAATGACAATAAAAAATGTATTAGGAGTAGGGTTAGATGGTGTAACACCCCAGAAAATTTTTGAGCTAAGACTTGAACCATCCTTCGTAGTGAGTAAGTTTTTATCAAGAAATTTAAATTTTCGTAAGTGTTAAGGTCACTAGATATAGCACCTTGAGTTCCAAAAAGAATTAAAGAGAATTCATTCAGGTCTTTCTTTAGTTCTTTTAAGTTTTGGGTCAAGTACTTCAAATGACCATAACTTTTAGCACATGATGAGTTAGGAGACCCATAAGATGAGAGGAAACTGAGATTTCCAAAAAAGATTTGAGCAGTTTGAGTACCATCTCTTTTAAGAGAAATATTTTTGAGTAGTAATCGGAAACCACAGAAAAAGTTATGCTTTTAAACATATGAGCTAGTATATTTTTTGGGAGTAGTATTGAGCATCGATATAGGGGAGAGTTCAGATAACTCACTACTCCCATAAAGTGAGTAGAAACGGTCATACTTTTTAGATGATTCCTTAATGGTTTTTAGCATAGACTAGAAAATCCACTTAGTAGTAGGTCTTATACCCTGGCAAAGTATATGACAGTTCTGGCAGCATGGGTGAGACGTTGTATCATCACATAGCTCATAGTGATGGTTTATTTGTCAGTTAGAGAAACTGCCACATAGATATTTTGTATTCTTATATACACAGAGTTTACTTTGTGTTTTCATATACAAGCAGAGTTTATCTTGTATCCTTGCATACAAATTGAGTTACTATTGTATTTTTTTCAATACATTGAGTTGTTTTCTACTGTTTTAAAAGCTTTCCATATATCACACCTTTTATTGTTGCTTTATCTTGAGTTGAGTATCTTAAGTTGAGTACCTTTGAGTTGAGCATCATATCTTTGAGTTGAGTATCTTATTCTTGAGTTGAGTCAAGTTGAGTGAGTTGAAAAAAGGTAAGTATGCTTCATTTTTTATCAAGTTCAAGTCTATGTTTATGCTTTAAAATCCCCTTACATGCTTGTACATTCCACGTACGGAACCATTTGGCCTGCATCGTTTCATGATGCATATACATGTATTTAGGATCATCAACAGGCATTTTGTTGAGGTCATGTGATATTTCAGTCAGCTTTGGTGAGCCTTCTTATATTCCAGAGGACTTCACCTTTATCTTACAGTTAGTAGTTTTGGGATGTCGTGGGTCTTGTTCTGATATCCTTCTATAATAGTAGATGCTTCATAGATAGACATAGTTGAGGAGATTTTGTATTTACTTTTATTTTGAGTATTGTAAAGACTTTTAAAAAGATTGAGTATTCGAGTTTATTGAATTTATTTCAATTTTAAGCTTTTGTATGATTGAGTTAGTCTTCCGCTTGTAGCCAACCATGAGAGGGTTCGCTTGGGGACCAACAATGGTTCTCGAGTGCCGGCCACATCTAGGGTGTAGGCTTGGATCGTGACTAAGGCTGGCAAACGGACATGACCGGATCAACAGGACCGGTTTTACCGGAACCGGTCCTCGTTACCGGATTTCGTTATCGGAACCGGGTCTTACCGGAACCGGTTTTACCGGAAATTTTCAAAGGTTCCGTCCGGTCCCTTAGTTACCGGATTGGAACCAGTTTGGATCGGACCGGAACCGGTTCTTACCGGATCATTTTGTACCGGTAATTTTTTTTTATTTTTTTATTAACTTTAATTATTATATAATATTATATTATTAATTAATAAAATTATATTATTAAAAAGCTTCAATTTAAAACTTTAAACTTTAAAGTTACTTTAAAGTTTCAATTGAATTTAAGTTTAAACTTTAAACTTTAAAGTTTAAAATTGACTTTAAATTTTAAAGTTTATAACTTTATATTGAATTTAAAGTTTAAAATTGACTTTAAAGTTTATATTGAATTTAAAGTTTAAATCTTAAAATTCAATTTTATATTAAAGTTTAAACTTTAAACTAATATTAAAATAATTGAAAATTAAATTTCTAAAATGACTTGGATTAAATATAAGAGACTATTTTAAAAGAAAATCAAGGCGAATAGCCGTATATTTATTCAAATAAATAAATTGTACAATACAAATATTAGAAAGAGACAAAGAGTACATAATCTAGGTATTGAATATTAATTATTGTACTAACAATTGAAACTCTTTTTAAAATCTTTTCGTAACTTTTGTATCATTTCAAAAGAAACATTTTTTGGAACTTGTATTTGACGTTCTTCTTCCATTGCTTCCATACCATCATCACTATTATCACCAAATATTTCATCTATTTTGTCTTCTATTTGGCTATTTAATTGTGGTAGTCCGGTATTTCTTCTTTCGGCATTGACCCAATCTCGAAACAACACCGATATTTCCAAACTATCCTTTGCTAATGAATATCGATGATCTCCAATCATAAATCTCACCGCACTAAAGGCTTGCTCCGAAGCGACCGATGATGCTTGAATCGCTAGCACATCTCGAACAATCCTAGCAA